GGATCACCCTTCCACATTCAGCACAGGCCCTGATCTTGAGTGGAGAGAGGGGTTGTTCTATGGGAGAACCATCTAGAAAGCAAGAGACTGGTGGCCGGTGTGTGTATTGCTGCATAAGAACCTTTGAGGAGTGCAGCACAGTGGTTATGGGCAAAGAAGTCATAGATCTAAGTCCTGGCTCCACTGCCTACAATCTGTGTACCTGGGTAAATCTCTTAACTTCCCTGTGCCTCAGTTGCCTCATCTGTAAAATGGGGAACAACAATAGACCTTATCTCGTGGTGGTGGTGTTAAAATGGGATGGGCTAATATAGGTGAAGTGCTTACAGCAGGGCCTAGCATAATAAGGGCATGATGATTATTAGCTACTATTATTATTATTATTGTTATTATTTCTAATGGGACCTGGGCTCTGCTCACCATGCTCCTGGAGACCCTATCTGAGGCCACAGGGTGAGTTGTTGAGAGTGTGCAGGCTGCTGCCTCTGGGTGCAGATGTTGGAGGACCCAGTTAATGCCACATGGGGAAGTGGGGAACCATGTTCGTAAACACCTACTAGGTCCCTGCCCAGTGAGACTTGCCCAAGGTCCCAGCTGGTGAGTGATAGGGTTCAGATTCAAACCCAGGCCCACTGGTCCCACAGCCCTTGGGACTTGGAGGCTAAGTGAAGTGGGGCGAGAAAAGGGGGATTCAGAGATGGATGCTGCCTCAGTTTCCAGTCCGTGGGAGACCTGTGAGCCAGTGGGCAGATGAACGAGTGAGTAGTGTACGACTGCCATTTGGAGGCCTGTGGGCTGAATCTCATGCCTTCTGAGATGAAGATGGAACTTTTCTGCTGAAGACAGTTCTCCAGCCTTTCCCCGGAGGTCTCCCTAAGGGAAGAGGACGGTGAACATGTCACCCCGAGGGGCCTGGGGATGCAGCCCGAAGCTGTTGCAGAGCCTGCAGGACTCTCCAGTTTTATCTTAAAATTCATGCGCATTTTACATTCTGCTCCCTCTCATATCCAGTCCATTGAGTACACATTCCCTCCTGAGTAACAGCATGCCTCAAGAAGCTGCTCCGTGTTTATCTGTTTATCCTGGGGTTTTGTTACCCCAGGTCCTAGACTGTGTCAGCCTCAGGGGTGTGTCCCAGGGCACAAGCACAGCCACAGATGGTGTGGGATGAAGAGGGGGCTGTGGTCTCATCTGTATGACAGAAAAATGGCCTCAGCCCACATGGAGGAGTAGGGCTTGGCAGGGAGAGTCCCCGGCGCTGGGGTCCCAGCAGTGGGAGGTGAGCAGGGTGGATTAACCAGTAAGCAAGGTCTGCATGGGCTTACAGTAAGCAAGGTATGCACAGGCTTACTCGTGCTTGCTTACTAATCTGTAGTGCACAATTTCACATGAGTTTCACCACATCAAAAAAATTGTGCACTACAGATTAGTAAGTAAGCACAAGAAAGCCGGTGCGTACCTTGCTTATTGGATAATCCGTTCCTGGAGATGAGGCCTGCAGTGAGGCAGAGGTGGGGCATGGGGAGGAGAGGCCTGCGAACCACAGCCCATAATGCCCCTCCATGTGATGCTGTCTTGAGATAATGCTCCGTGTCTCTGACTGGTTTCCTTAAGAGAAATATATTTACAGAGAAGGCAAGAGATCTACCTGTTTGTCTACAAACATCAGAATTCGCCGTATAAAATCGCCATGTTTGTGGGTGCAAACTGGTTGAGTTTTGGCAGTTTCAGAGGATTCATGCAGCCTCTCCCGAGACAGCTGCATGGTGGACCTCTCAGCCAGTGCGGGCTCCTGCTGCCCTGCGTTGAGTGAGTCCTGCGTCTGTGGTGTCTGCTTCCCGATGGCCTCACTTTCTGCCATTTATTTTGTGTTCTGGAGAGCAGTTTTACCCTCGAAACAGCTGGTGAGAGGGGAGCTGCGTCTGCCCTGCAGACACAGAGAAAGAATGAGTTCTGGACGCCAGCACGCAGGTTCTAGAGGGCTTGGTGCCGTCAGGCAAAGCGGAGGAGGCCGAGGGTCAAGCTCAGTGGGTGTCCTTGGTAGACGTCCTTTCCTTGCAGGAGATACGGTTCAATTCCTGGCCAGCAAGCCTCATGCATAGCCACCAACTGTCTGTCAGTGGAGGCTTGTATGTTGCTATGATGTTGAACAGATTTCAGACTAAGATAGACTAGGAAGAAAGACCTGGTGATCTAGTTCCAAAAATCAACCAGTGGAAATCTTTGTGGCTCACAGTGATACAGTCTGCAACCAATCACAGGGATGGTGCAGGACTGGGCAGCATTTTGTTCTGTTGTGCATGGCATCACCGTGAGTTGGGGGCAACTTTTGAGCAGCTAACAACAAACAACAAAGGAGGGGTCCATCAATTCCCAGGCACTTCTGGCTTTCCTGGAGGTACAGACAAAGCTGCTTCAAAACCCAGGGGGCAGCCCTGGTAAGGGTTCTGTTTTGGACATGTGAAGCAAGAGGTGCCTTTGAGACATCTGGGCAGGTCTGGTAGAAGTCACAGCAGCTGAGGTTCTCAGAAGCCCCACACCATGCCCGGCACCTTCCATGCCTCCACCCTTCACGCCTCAGCAGTCTGGTGGAGCCCTGGCCTGGCGCGGGCCCCGGAAGGCGCTCTAGAAATGCCTGTGGAGTGAATAAAGGTCTTTCCGCCCGAGCAGGAAAGACTCCCCCACATCAAGGAGGGTTGGTGGATGGGTGCAGGCTCTCCCCTCGGACTTCACAGCATCTTCTGGGTGCATAAGCCTCAGCCCCTGCCCCAGAGGCACTTGTCTGATGGAGAGGCCAGAGAGGCTGTCCCTGACACCAGAGCAGGTGTCCAGAGGTGGAAGTGAGATCTGGGGTGATGCGCGGATGGCGTTTAGCTCAGGAAGGGCACCTAAAAAAAGAAACTCACTGCCCTTGGGTCAATTCCAACTCATAGCAGCCCAATAGGACAGACTGCCCTATAGCGTTTCCAAGGCTGTAATCTTTATGGAAGCAGACTGCCACATCTTTCTCCCCTGGAGTGGCTGGTGGATTCAAACCTCTGATCCTTTGGTCGGCATCTGAGCGCTTTAACCACTGCACCAACACGACAGGCACATATTGCTGACCTTTTGGTGAGCAGCCAAGCTCTTCACCAGTGCACCACTAGGGCTCCTGGACAGGCACATGGTGGTGTTTAATCAGGGACAGCTACCGGGGACTGGCTTCTTGACTCCCTGGGGCCTCCGAGTGCCACAGCCCAAGCCCTGGAGGTTTCAGTAGCTCCTGGTGCAGAGGACTGTGAGCAGGCCTGTGGCCCTGGCCTTCCCAGGATCATGATGTTTGGTGCAAGGACAGGACACAGGGTCCTTCTTGTAGCTGCTGCATGCAGTCTGACTCAAGATCTGTCCCTCCTGGCCACCCAAGCAGCTGGCCTGACTGTATGTGGAGGTAATGACAGGGGACAGGGGTAGGACACTGCCCCCCAAGAGGTGTGAGGATGGGGCTGTGTAAAGAGCAAGCCTTTCTAGTCAGGCACATGTGGGGGCACAACCAGTACCTCCACTGCTGGTGGGGGGACCGCCAAGCCAATAGACTTTTTGCCTGCTCAAAGCCTCAGTTTCCCCCTCTATCCACTGGAGATAATCCTAGCTACCTAGTCAGGACAGCGCAGTGAGGGAAATTGTGTCTCGTGGGGCTGGGCCCTCACTTTGGGGTCAGACTGTGTCCTCTTCCTTCCGCACCTCTGCTCAGATTTCCCAGCGAGAGCTCAGGTCTGAGGACCTGCAGGGTCAGCATGAATCCCCCGTAGGGCTGCCCTATGGAAGAGGCTCCCAGCTCAGCACCTCCCAGGTCCCTCTGCAGGGTCCCTCAGCCCACACACGTCTCCGCTGTCTCCCCAGAGTCTAAGACCTCTAAACTTGCCCAGTTCCCATCTCCACCCCTAGCCAGTGAGAAGCTGCTGCCTGGCCAGAGGAAAGAGCCTGCAGTGATTCCAGAGCCCAGCTCGAACTGTGTCCTCCAGTACCCCGTCCTCCTGCCTGGATCCCCCAGCCACACTCACTCTGTGAAATGGGGTATATTCATTTTCTATGGCTGCTGTAACAAATTACCACAAACTCGGTGGCTTAAAACAACATGGATTTATTATCTTACAGTTCTATAGGTTAGAAGTCCAACACAAGTGTCACTGGGCTAAGATCAGGGTGTTAGCAGGGCTGTGTTCATTTTTGGAGGCTCTAGGGGAGAATCCATTTTCTTGACTATTCCAGCTTCTAGAAGCCACCTGCATTCTTTGGCTTGTGGCCCCTTCCTCCATCTTCAAAACCAGCAAGGGCAGGTCAAGTCCTTCTCACATCCCATCATGCTGACCTCTTCTCCTGTCCCCCCACCTTCCACTTTTAAGGACCCTTGTGATTATATTGGACCTACCCTGATTAATCTAGGATAATCTCCCTATTATAAGGTCAGTTGATTAGCAGCCTTAATTCCATCTGCAACCATCATTCCCCTGTGCCATGTAACCTAACATAATCACAGGTTCCAGGGATTAGGACATGAATATCTTTGGAGTCCCATAATAGCATCCACCTTATGCTGTGGGTAAAGCATATGCCTGGCATACAGTAGGTGCCCAATAAACACTGCAGCTGTGGTGAAGTGGTTAACAACATGGACTCTGGAGCCAGCTTTCTGGGGTTGACATCCAGCTCCTCCTACAATCTCAGATAGGTTACTTAACCTCTCTGTGCCTAGGTGTCCCCGTCTATAAAATCCGGAGAATGAAAACAGTACTGCTTCCTAGGTGAGGATGAACTGAGTTAATTGTGTAAAGCACGCAGAGCAGTACCTGGCACACTGCAGCACTGTATCAGTATTGATGAGGGTCATGGTCATGGTCAGGGTGGCTGGGTTCACAGCAGACGCTGGGCTGTGGCCAGCAGCAGTGCTCCGAGTGCTGTCTGCCTGTTTGTTCCCACGGTCAACCAACCTCCAGCTGGGGGAGGCTTGGGGTGGAGGCGGGGCTTCCTCTGGCCAGGCAATAGGGTGAAAGACCACAGCCTTTGGCATCAGGCCTATGTTCAAGTCCTAGCCCTGCCACTTTTGAGCTGGGTGACCATGGGCAAGTTACTTGGCTGCTCTGTACCTCAGCTTGCACGTCTATAAAATGGGGGAAATGAAAGTCCTTGGAGAAAATGAACTGGCATGTGTATAAGGATGCTCTCGTTCTCTGTTGCAGCCTGTGCCCTTGTGAGGCTGGCATGCAGGATGGCGGGACAGCCCAGCCCCATGCCCCATGGAGGGAACCCAAACAACCTCTGCCACAGCCCAGGGCCTGCACATCCTCCCGACTCACAGGTAAGCCCTTTTCCTTTGTCTGCAGTGTATTGAAGAATCTCTGAGGAGTATAGATCCCCTAAGCTGCTTTCAATAAGGTTCCATTCACTGGAGGAAGCCCCTTGGCAGCCCCCAGACAAAGCCTTTTCTTGGATGCTTCCAGTGATGGGGAGCTCATTACCTCATCGAGTGAATTCTTCATTTAATTCAGCAGCACTCAAAGAAGCCTCCTCTGTGCCAGACTCAGGGCAGAGCATTTCCATGTGAACAGAATAGCTTTATCTCAGAGGGACCAGTGCTGGTTAGAGGGACACTGAGGTGGCTGTGGGCACCCAGAGGGATTTGGGGGAAGGCTGAGAGTGGGATTGGGGGCATATTCGGCAGCAGGAAGTTCTTTACACTGAGACAAAGTCAGCCCCCTCTCTGGTCTTAGCTGCATCTGTTCCCCTTCAGCCTCTTTACGTAGAACCAGGAGAGAGCCTCGGGGAACACTGGTGTTGCTGTGCCTGCCTCACCCTCTCTGTAGGTACCTCAGAGAGCCAGGCAGTCTTCTGCAGCTTTTCTGAAGGTGCCGTCTGGATTTCTGAGCCACTTCAAATGCCCTCCCATGCTTTTGCACTTGCTGTTCCTTGGACCTGGAATGTCCCCCCCACTTCTCCAAGTCTCAGTTCAAATGCCACTGCTTTGGGGAGTCTTCCCATCCCACTCCTACTTCCTGCTGGTTGAGAGACCACCTGTGTGCTGCTGCCACACCTGTGTGCGTCTGGCTCGTGGCCGTGATCGCATCACACTGTGGCATTCGTTCCTGGTTGGCCTCCCTTCCCAGGTGGAGAACTCCTCTGCAGTGGGGCCTATACCTGACACACCAGTCCCCGGCCAGGCACAGGGGAGTGAGTCCCTAAATGCTTGCAAACCCAGTGAACCACAGATACTTGTAGAGCACCCACCTGGGACACGGCCTTGCGTGAGGCAGACCCTGGCCTGCTCTCAGGGAGACAACCTCACTGGAGATAAGAAACAGGGTGGAAGGAGAAGCTCAGGGGCCTGTTGAGCCACAGCTAGGCACCTGATCCAAACTAGGTGAGCCAGGAAGGCTTCCTGGAGGAAGCAGCAGACAAAGGCTAGAGGGGCCAGGGAGCTGGGCTGGGGAGGTCAGCCGGGGCAGATCCTATAGTGTCCTATGGGCCTATCAGCCTGAATTGCATGAAAAGTAATTGTCCAGGGTGGGCTTTTTGTCTCAGGGCTGTAAATTCTAGGTCAGGGGGAAGACTCAGCCACCTTCCTGGGCTATGGAAGGCTTGTCAAGGCTCTTAACGCCTTAGTTCCAGTTGGAGGACTTCAGGTTGAGTAAGACTTGACTTGTTTGGGCAGGACTGCCACATACAGTTGTATAGGTTATGCACTGCACAAAGGTGCCTGTCCAAGGAGGCAGGTGGATCTGAAATCTTTCTCTCACATTTTCACCAAACCATGCTCCCAGAGCAGGGCTGCATCAGTCCAGGGGAAGGGGCACTTTGCTGAGTCACACAGAGGCACCATATGAGCTAGTGGGTATATGTGTTCATGCTCACTCAAGCAGATGGAGGGCTCATGGGCACCTATGCTATTGATACTCTATTTCCATTCCTGGTAAGGAGGCAGGGCCCATTTGCTAGGTGGAATTTGGGGAGGCAGATCCCAGAAAGCTGGGAAGCCCATGGACACTGTTGGTCCAGAGTCCACCAGGACATTGAGCTGATGGCTGGGGGCAGTAGGGCCTCCTCGGGTAATGTAGCAATTTGTCATATTAAGTCATTCACTAATAGCTGAACCCTCCTTGATTAATCTCTCAGAATTAGCCAGTTGCATTTCGAGCAATTAGGGTTAATTACAGCCTCATTTGGCAGAGGAGAGAGCCCCATAATTATTTCACGAACAAGGCTAGGAAGCGGTGGGATGCGCCGGCAGCAATGTCCACAGCGTCTCGTCGCACATGTTAGAGTGGGTAATGACATAGTTAAGTGTAATTAGATACGATTACTCGACGTTGGGCTGCTCCCAGCAGCGCTGTTGGGCGAAGATGCCCCCGGCCCCGCCAGCATCTGGCTGGGTTTGCATAATTGGGGCGCAGAGCAGCGTTTGCTCTGGGACCACTCCAGGTTGGGGCGGGCAACGGAGGCCAGTCAGGCGCTTTCTCACTCGGGCTTTCATGAAGCACCAGTATTTAAATACCATCCGGGGAGACATCACGGGCCAAATCTCACCAGTTTCAGGACATAGAAATGCCTCGAATTGACAGTGAAGGCATTTTCCTTTATAGCAGGAGGCACTAATGTTTCCTGGAACCACCCTTAGAGACCGGGCCAGGCTTCATGGACAGCAAGAGTGCCTTGCTATGAGCCAGGCTGGGTTCAGTTCCCACCTCCACCCCTCACCAGCCAGGAGACCTCTCTGAGCCTCAGTTTCCTCATCTGTAAAATGGGGATAATAATGGTTCCTCTATCATGAGGTGAACGTGAGGACTAAGTGCGATGATACCGTGTAAACATCCAACATGGTGTCTAACGTCCTGGGTATTGAAGTGGCATGCCATTGATCGCTTTCTTATATTGTTAAATTCTGTCTCTCGTTTTCATTTTCACAGCAAAAGACCCCAGAGCTGGATAATACCCCAGTGTAGGAAGATGATTTAGCAGACACTCGAATTGTGGGTTTTAACCTTCTATGCCCAAGGCTAGTGGTTTGTTCATTTCAGGAAGCTTTCCAGCCTTGCGAGTTGTCAGCACATGAAAATATATTTGTTGAACCCGGCAGAATCATACGTCAAATTTAGATATACTTGGGAAAGCTGAAAATGCTTGCTTTTATTGAGATTTCTAATGAATGAATGAGTGAAATTGAGAGAAGGAGCTTAAAGGGCCCCATACTTTATAATTTTACCAGTTTGCTGGAGACCATTTTCAACAGGAATGAAACACAAGGCTTGGCTGACCCGCTAAGAACCACGTGGATTTCCAAGAAGGAAAAAGGTGTCCTTGCCTGAGAAAGCCCCAGCTAATGTGTCTTCCATCTGGAAAGTCTTTGCGAACCTGCTTGCGACCTGCCAAGTTCAGTTAAATTTGGGTACTATTTTGAGAGAGGAATGTGCATAACTTTGCAGGGGGTGGGGACAGCTGTCGCCGTATGAGGTCTGCATTGCACAGGCTAAAACCTTTATGAACATCTTCCCAGAGAGATGATGGAGTTGGATAAGGGTTAATGACCAAAGATTAAAAGAAACCAGGTGCTATCAAGCCAATTTCAACTCTCAGTGACCCCGTGTGTGTCAGAGTAGATTAGTGCTCCATAGTGTTTTCAGTGGCTGATTTTTTAGAAGTAGATTGCCAGGCCTTTCTTCTGAGACACCTCTGGGTGGACTCAAACCACCAACCTTCCGGTAAGCAGCCTAATGGGTCCTTTGCACCACATGGGAACTCCAACCAAAGACTAACATCATTAAAATTCAAGAAATGCTTGCTAAGTGTCGTAAATTTCACAATTATTTGACCTGGTGCCTGGGGCCTCCCCTCTGTGGGATTGGTGGTCTGCCGGGGAGCCCTACATGTAGGTAGACAAAGATGGCACAGAGAGGTAGAAGCCACGTTAGAGGGGTGGACAAGAGGATTCAGGAGCCCAGAGGATGGAGCAGCCAGTTCTGCCCAGGGTGTGGGGGGGGGAAGGGGGGCAGGAAAGCTCTAGAAAGGAGATGACATGTGGGCTGATGGATGATCAGGAGTTTGGGGCAGGACCGGGGAGGAGGGTGTTCCAGAAAGAGGAAAGAAGATAGTGTAGGCACTGAAGGTGCATGGCCAGTTGGGTTAGATAAGGTAGAAGAATGGCTGGTGTTTATGACAGGGCTTGAATCCTGCTAGATCCTTTGGAATTGAATCTGTAGCCCATCATGGGTTTTAAGTGGACCAGGGACACACCTGGGCTTGGGTTTTAAAAAGATCACCGTTACCAATACCAGTTGCCATCGAGTCGATTTCGACTCATGGCAGCCCCATGTGCTGCAGAGTAGAACTGCACGCCGTAAGATTTTCATGGCGGTGATCTTTCAAAAGCAGATCTCTACCAGGTCTTTCTTCTGAGGCACCTCTGGGTGGGTTTGAACTGCCAGCCTTTCAGTTAGTAGTTGAGCACTAACTGTTTGCACCACCCAGGGACACCTGAGATCCCTGTTAGCCAGGGAGAAAGGTGAATAGGAGGGGGTGAGAAGGTGGCTGCAACCACCCCAGGTAAGATGCTACCTCAGCCTTAAATGAGTCTCCAGCTGTCAGGTTGGCCACAGGGAGGAAAGGTCCAGAAAGTTCCCCAGGAAAAATCAGCTGCGTTTGGTAAGTGAAGGAATGAGGGAGAGGGAGACGTCAAGGATGCATCCACCTTCTGGCTTGGTATCTAGATCTCTTGATGGTTTTCACCCTTCAAGCCTTTGCTTGTTGGCCACTAGGGCTTGTGCCAGATTCTCTCATCCATATGTTTAAGCTCAATTTTCTCTGAGGATTATCCTGAGGGAGTCACTACAATCTGGATTATTTTAGGTTTTGTTGTCAGGCATCTTCCATGTTCTGGGAGTCTTGCTCTCTGTCCCCATGAGCGGATGGCCCATCCAGCAGAGTGTATACTTAGGACTTGAGACCTTGGTGGTGATGGCTGTAGTAAGAGTGTGATGCCTGGCACTTACCTCATTTGGTCCTCTTGCCAACTCCCAGAAGGAGGTCTTATTCACTCTGCCTGCAGGTGAAGAGTCCGAGATGAGGAACTTGCCTATTTTGCCATTAAGTCAGGATTTATGCAGGTCTTTGTGGCCGCACAGGTCCCTGGGTGGCACAAGCAGTTTGCGCTCGACTACTAACCAAAAGGTTGGTGGTTCGAACCCACCCAGCAGCACTGCAGAAGAAAGACCTGGCAATCTACATCCATAAAGATTACTGCTAAGAAAATCATGTGGAGCTCAGTTCTGCTCTGTAACACATTGAGATCACCGTGAGTCAGAATCAATC